GGAATCCAGGACAAGACCTTATTACCTTTGCAACATAAAAAAAAAAATATGGATATTTTTATGGCAAAAATGTATGTAAATGTAATAAGAAGAAACACCAACTTAACCAAATATATTAAGAAAAATAGCAAAAGTGTTTCTGTAAGAAATTGCAGAAAAACCCTCTGGGAGTGAAAGAAATATTTTTTTTAGTACAATATAACCTTAAAGCATTAATGCTGATACTGGCACCGACATTTTTTAGTTTATACACCTAAATATAATTGTTAACTAAGCTTATTAACTTTTTAAATTCACTTTCTGACTTTTCAATTACATTTTTACATTTATTTCTTGACTTGTTACCTTTTTTTTCCAACTTAATATACAGTAGGTAATAAATCATTCAATGGCTCATCTAATTGGTAAAATGGAAAAATAAGATGTACAGCCATGTAGCAGGATCTTTGCTCAAGGGCTGGATATAGATCTAGTGCTTCTAGACCTCAATAAGGGACGGAGGGACTCTATTTGTAAGGTTTATGCAAGGGATCAAAAATGCTAACTTGCCCTATAAAGGGATAAACCTACCAATCAATTAATTTATGCATTCAATTTTTTTTATTTTATGAGTAAATAAAATACTGGGTAATAAATACATATGAATAAAAATTAAATAGCTTGGTTTAATTTGACTGTTATTTGTTTTTTAGTACATTTTTTGTCTCATGTCTGAGGTGAATCATATGATCTGTGAGGAGAGTCTGATGGTGGCACAGTTAGCTCCCAGCTGATGAAACAGGGCGTGTTTGTTAACAAAATGATTAAAACTGTTAATCCCAGATTGTTCAGATTGACATCTTCAAACGGAGAAGTTCACTTCCAGTTATAAAGAATTAGATCATGAAGGAAAGCTTCATAGCCATTTTACAGAGAAGAACAGGTTTAAAACAAGGTGACATCTGTAACTACACCAACAACTGGATGATCGCAGTGATCAATCAGAATAACTGCAGCTGTGGAGTATTTATGCTGGTGATAAAGAGATCAAAAAGAGGTGATTTATCTGGGTATTCAGAATTAGGGCGAGTAAGATTCACAATCATTTCAGAGAAATAAGAGCAAGACAGAAAGTCATCATCTGATGCTGATGGAAGGGGATTTCTTCAAAAAGCCAGTTAGACATTTTGTAAGCTAATCAAAAGCATCAGCAGCAACTGAAGAACATTTGGCATCATGAAACTACTTTTTTTTAGCTTTTAATAAGGTAAAAATACATAACTTTGCTGTCAGCAGATTAGCGCTTTTTTTACAGATGCAATTTGATTAATTTACTTTGTGGATCCCTCGTCGAAGACGGCCATCAGAACCACAGAACCGGTCTCAATGCTCTTCAGGAACTCGATCAGAGGTTCCACTTCTGCAACAGAAACACATCAGCATCAGGACCGGTTCAGCTCAGACCCAGTCTGCTTCCAGACGACGGGGACTTACTGCCGCTGTACATGTTGAAGTGATCCGACTTGAGTAGCTCTCCGGTTTTACCTGCAGGACACAGATCAGGTGAGATCAGCCTGAAGCTGACGAAACAGCAGAGAGGAAACTACCTTCTTCAGAGCAGATTTTTCTCACCTATCTTTATTAAAAAATACCACAAATATCTTTATAAAGCATTTAATTTTTTTTATGATTTAAAAGCAAAGCATGACAAAGCAGTTATTGTTAGTCTGCTACAGAGTCATGAGGACAGGCTTGGGTGTGTAATGAGAAAATACCAAACTATGCAGTTAATGAAACTCTGTAGGAAATTAATAAACTAGCAGCAGGTTCTGCATAAACCCAGATCTGGACCAGAACCAACCCTGCTTCCCTCGGGTCATGAGGCGAGAAAACCATGACTGGAGAACCTGCTGCAACTGAAGCTTCCCCACAGAAATAAAACAGTAAACCAGGAATCTTCAGGCCAAAGACCCCCAAACTGATGGTGAGATGGAGCGGGGACCCACTAATTATATATATTGTATGAAATAGTGTTCTATCAAACTGGTCCTATAGTCACTCTATTACAGATGGAGTCATGTAACGAAAATAATTGGGATTATTAAAGTATTTCTGATTCTGATTCCTGGTTGATGGGACAGGTGTTGTGAATGAAACGGTGCCCAGCTTGAAAGAGCTCCTATGTGTCGCTGAATGTGAGCATTGATGACTGAAAGACATCTTCTGCCTCCATTTATCTGTTTACTACAGTTTTGAATTCATGTTAATGTGGATTTAAAGACATTTCAATTAGTGGACTTTCGCGACCCCCATGCTGTACCTCCGTGGACCCCCTAGGGGTCACGGACCCCCTGTTGAAGACCTCTGCATTAAACTCTAAATCTATACTTTGTTGAGATTTTTACCCATAAGAAAAATGATGATGTAATATCTGGGCAACTGGAGAAAAAAAAAAGATAAGGAGATATTTTTAGTTTTGCTGTTTAGCAACAATCAGATAAAAGAGGAAATGATGAGAAAAACGACAAACATATCAGATTGGTTAAAAAAAGTGGGGAAAGTGCAAAAAGTAAACAAACTATAAAGGGTTTCTGCAGCAGCGATGTATGACAGTGAGGGCTTCTGTAAATCATCTGTTAACTTTTAAATTAACTTTATTAACAAAAACCCCTTTAACAGAGGAAGATCCTGTCAACACAAACTGTTTAGCAGTTCCATAATAATTTTCTTCAGGTTATTATTTGTAATTTATTCCCACATATTTTTACTTTAATTTTGACATCAACTTTAAAAAGATATTTTTATGAAAAGAAAATAACCATTATATATTTCTTCTAAATTTCCCTCATAGTCCTTTCAAGAAAATATTTTCTGGGTTAGAGTTCTACTTTTTTAAAGGTCCTGGATTACATTTTGTCAGATTTAATGGATCCTCAGGATATTGAGAGTTTTAAAGGCTCTTAAAACATGAATCCTATTAAGTTACAAAAACAAGCCTTAATGAGACGGCTGTCAACAAACAATGGGTAAATATTTTTCAACACGATTTTGTTTTTATTATCAATTATTTAAAAAAAGGTTTCAAAGTAAAACAGAAACTATTCACTTAAACTTAGACTTAGACAGACTTTATTTTGATTTTGTAGACACAGAGTGTATACAAAAAGACATTTCGTTCAGTACAGCTCTCAAAACTTTCATTTTTAAAAGTGCAGCGGTGATAAATGTAAACATATATGAGTTACAGTTTCCAACATTCAGGGTCGTTTCTTTTTCATAAACCCCATTTTATAAAACGTTCAGCAGTCTATTTGCAGTGGGGACTGCTGATAGTTGTATTAAATGGGGTTTATAGAGAAAAGCAATTCAGGGGAATATGACTAAAAGGAGATGAGAAGTGAAAAGCTGACTGACCGTTCATCACTACGATGTTGATTCCACTTCCAGCGTTGTTCAAGGTGGTTCCTAACACCCTGCATCAAAGAAACGCTGTGAGTCACATGTGAACAACATCACCTGCAGAGACATGAAGAACCAGAGAGAACCCAAACATGGAGAACGACCACGACTGCAGAGACAAACACAGCAGATGGACCCAAACCCAGAACAGGAGAGAAGAATCTGAGACTGGAGCTCCTACAGTTCTCCATTGAGACAGATCTTTGGAGGAACAACGTTTGCAGCTCCACTCTGGACGGAGAAGCTGATCTGGTTGGATGGACAGACGTTCTCCTTGGAGCACGGTCCCTCTGCAGAGAAGGAGAGGCAGGTCAGTTCTCCAGCAGCTCTGCTTGGTCTGTCAGGTTCAGCTGTGACTCACCTGGTTTTTTGGTTCCCTCCATTGAGCTCTGATCAGAACCAAATGAATGTTTAGTTAAACCTGGAAGAGAAGAAACGTTTAATTGATCTGCTTCAGTGAGAGTCTGTCAGATCTGATGATCTGGAATCATTTAATGGGCTCTGCTTGGAAGTCGAGCTTTTTTAAAAGCAACAAATCTTCTAAATTCTGCAAAACCAACCAAACAAGATGATATTCCTGGGAATCCTCCCTTAGATTTAGATCTCATGATTTGATCCATTTAAAACAAAATTTTATGAGCTCCATTCACAAACGCACTGTGGTCCAGACCTGGAAAACCTTTACAGAACCCCTGAACTGATCCCTCTAAATAAAAACAGGAAGCTTTGCAGCATCTGCAGCTTCAGCTGGTCCCACAGGAGCAGAATAAACCCACAGAGAGGCAGGAGATGTGGGGGGTTCTGACCTTTGATTGGGTCGGTGTAGAGCTGCATGACGACAACGAATATAAACACCAGGAGGATGATGAGCGTCAGCGTCTGAAAAAACCCTGATGGAGACAAAAAAATCAGTCTGAGACATTTTAGAACATCAGCAGCTAAATTTAACATGGAGGAGGAACAGAAACAGAAACGTCTTCTGGTCGGATTCTGATCCAAAAAGCTTATTTCTGCAGCAGGAGGGCAAAGCTTTGGAAAGCCCAAATTCTTAAAGTTTTCTCTACAGATTAAACTGCAGTAAAATTAAATGATTAAAAAAATATTTCACATATCCTAGATATTATTTTTTTTTTTTTTTACAAACTGGTTAATCACTTTCATATAGGTCAAATTATTGAGAAAAATTAACTAAAAACATTGTAAAAAAAATTCAGTGTGATAGATTTCAGATTCCTTACTGGTGCAGATTTAAGTAAACTCTGAAAAGTAAATATAATTCTATATCTTTAGTTTAATTCTGTGGTTCTCAGTCTTTTCCTCGATCGTGTCTTCCTTAATTTAAATTAAATAACGTGCCCTTCCTCCACCTGATCTTTTCAACAAGTAACCAACAGCAATAAACAATATTGAGATAAAATAAATGAGTCTTCTTTTAAATCACAAAACTACATCTTTTAAAATCTAATCATTTAAGGTTTAATTGTTTATTTTACTGTAATCAGAGTTTAACATTGAAGTCAATTTTTATTTCATTTTAAATTACCTCTTAAAGCTGGTCGTTCATGCAGTTTATGTTTAACAGGCCTTCCCTGTAATTACCCTAAGCCCCCCCTAGGGGGCGCCCCCTCACTCCAGGAACCACTGGTTTAATCTGATCATCTCTGTCTTTTGTCCAAATGTTATATACCTCTTATTGTGACTTTCCATAGTAATAATCCAGATTAAAATCTAAAGGGTAAAAGAATCAAATTTAATCCATCAGCTGCATCTGAAATCATTCAATAGGGAGTCTTTAGCAAAGCAGAAGAGCGTCATCAGTCGCCATGATCAGAGCTGTGTGAATAGTGCTGGTAGTAAAGAAGAAGAGGAAACATGATGTTTCCTATCATGGTTCCTTTAACATAATTAAGGAGCGACAAGGATTCCCACAATCCTTTGCCACAGTGTCACAGCCAGTGATGCTGGCTGTGACACTGTG